GAACAATCCTGCTGTAAAAACAGGGCTCGTTTACTGAAAGTGTGGTGAGAGAGTACTCGACACCAGTGTGGGAGCGGAGACCTCTGAGAGAGAAGCGGCCCATTCTATTCTGCCACATTCCCACTGGCAGCTAATTTCCCACTCTGCAAACGCCACCACTTATTCCTAGCTCTGCTGTCTGGGGATGACAGGAAGAAAGCTAAGCGTACTTCCAAACGACAGCCCTCCAAATACTGTCACATGCCTGGGACGCCTCTTCTCCAACTGAACATTCCCAGGTCTTCCCACCTGTCCTCAGACGGCAGAAACCAAAGGCTCTTCGCTGTCCAGGATGCCCTTCTCTGAACATTCTCTCTCATTTGTCAATGGCCCTCCTGACATGTAATCCCCAGATTCGATATTCTGGGGATTCAATATTCCAGATGTGGGCAGCCCTGGGCAGGGAACAGAGGAACCCTTGCCCCATTGCTGGGACTTGTGCCTCTCTGGGCTGCCTTCCCCAGCTGTTGTGGCCAGCCCTGTTCTCTCCTCACTCCAACGAGCTACAGCCAGGGCTGTCCTGTCTACCACACATTGTGAAGCAAATAGACCCAAGTGGACCTCTAAAAATGCAAAGCACAACCTGTCCACGCACACCACACCCTCCTGCACACAAGTTCCCGTCAGCTAGATGTTGCTAGCAGAGAGCTGGGTAGCCCCTGTCTCGTCACGTGACCAGCACAGATCCTGCATTTGTACATGTCACTGACAAAGACCTGCACTGGTGAGATGCCATATGAGTCTGCTCACATCTACTGGGTGCTTCTCTGGAGCTCCCTATATGATGCTCACATCTAATTATTTCAGATGACTGCGTTACATTATTCTGTTAATGAACTATGGGCTGAGGCAGCTGTACTCTCTCATCTTTGAACTCTTGCTTCCCACTCCTGACTCATGGTACATCTTTCACTAACCCTCCTGAGGCCACGTTTGTACTGAGGTTGATATAAATTGGAAACAATCAAATCACTCATGAAACATTTCAACCACCTCGTTTGCACCCATAAATGTCGTTGTACAAGCTACAATCAGTTTTTAACTGAACAGATGAAGTGAAGACATTTATTCAGTTCAAGACTTTTTATATAAATTTTGTTAGCTTTTATTTTTATACTGCCTATATTTCCCAATATAGCCATCCCCCAAATAACTTTAAGTTTTCATGTTTATTGGTCTCAGGGTTACTGAGTTCAATTGTTCCTGATTCTTCTTTGTTTGGTCTGTTCCATTCATCTACCTATTTTTTTAAACCAGTATTAAATAGTTTTGATGATTATTGCTTGACAATATAATCTGAGACAGTCTATATCTCACGTTATGAGCTATGCACTGGGTAACTGGGGATAGCCAACAGAGCTGGAGTAAGGCACCGGCCTTTAGAGGGGTCAAGAAAGGCTTGCTAAAGAAGGTGCAATTTTAGCTGGGACTTGGAGGCCAGTGAATCTCTCCAGAAGCAATACTGTGTCTAGCTCTGTAAAGTACTGTCTGGGTCGGTTAATTGCTATAGCACCACACCCATAAATTAATGTAGGCGACACTGTCATTTTTGTTATTTTGATATGGTTCAGCTGTGATGCTAATTATCTCGATATTTAAGTTAGTCTTTATTGCTTAAAGCAAAACCTTATGCACTTTCCAGTTATTCTGAATGGGATCAATACTGTTTTCTCCTCGATTTTAGCGTTACATAGAAATGCTGTTGATTATCAGGGTTGACGTGTATGCTGTTACTTTATGGAAGTGATCATCTCAAACAGCTTCTTTACTGATTCTCTAGGATTTTCTAAACCAGTCATTAAGTCATTAATAAAACCCAATAGTTTTGCTGCTTTTCCTCAGCCCAACCTGAAGCCCTTAAACTCTGTGTCTCACTGTTAGCACAAACATTCTTAGAACCGTGAGGAGTCATGGCAGGGGAAGAGTCCCCACTGCTCTTCTCCTGGCCTGACTGGGAAAGCTTCTACGACCCGTGGCCTCTGTCAGAGCAGCCGATGAGTTTGTAGACACTCTTGGGCACTGAAAGAGGGGCTGTCCTTTTGGGATAGGCTGTGCGAGGTCTTTGATGTACGATGGAGGCCATCCCTCATTCAAGGCCTTTCCTTCTTCCCGGACTGATGTAATCTTGTGGTTTAGGATGCTTCTCCTTTTGATATGATCCAGTGAAGATAATTATGATTAATGATGTTAGGAAACTTCCTCCTAACAATTCTTTCTCAAGCATGGTTCGGGTTATATGAGGTTGGTATATTATATGGGGTCTCTTCCACTGGTGAATTTCTGATTGAATTATCAGCTCATGAAATTCTTGTCCATGTTCTCCTCCCAGAAACTCTGCTTAGGGGATCTTCTGAACATAATCAAAGACTTTTTTGTTGCTGTTGTTTTTTAAATACTGTCAAGTTACCAGAGCAGAGTCTGGGCTGGCTGTTATCATCAAATTTCCTCACATGGCTAACTCTGGCCATGTCCTTAAGAAGGGATTTAATAGCACAAATTAAGCGTAAGTCAGCTGACATTTTCAGTTTTGACCTGCACACGTGATCAGGTTTTGTTTCCAAGCCACAGCTTGGTATTGCTGAAGCTCTGGACAGTTTGCCAAACGTCAGCCGGGGGAAGTCTGAGTGCAGCTCAGGTCCAATCAAGGATGTACATGCGTACACACTACAGCCACAGGCCATAATGTGGTTCCTCCACGCAGGAACCATGCGTTCCTTTCCTGCTTGGTTACTGTGACTGTAGAGACGGCTGAAGTGATTTCTTTGAAGCCGACGTGGACCTCTCTGAGAAGACGTTCTGGGGATGCAGGGTCAGCACCGTCACACTCACCCCCAGACCATCCTGAGGCTTCCCCATCTCAGAGGAGACCTTGCTGCCCCTGGGAAAGCACTCCTCTCCTGTCTCATTGCTCAATATTAATCATCAGCAGACTGATAAACCAAGTCACTGCAGTGACTGCAGCTATCCAGAGACTGCATACTGTTCACATCTAGAGGGAGGTGAGATGCTTTGTTTAGAGAGACTTCAAGGACACCTTCAACTATAGGAGCCAAACGCTCCTTTTGTCTTTATTTCTTGTGATCAGCAAACAAATAAAGCAGTATCTTACAACTTTCAGACAACTGTGTGACTGTGAAGACATCTGCTGAAGAAAATTGTCCAGCATGAGGGAGAGAAAAAAACCTTATGTACAAAAATATTTATAGGAGAACTTTTATTATTGCATCGACCTGGAAACCAAATGGATGCCCATTAATTAGAAAATGGCTTAAAAATCATGGTTTATGAATGCAAAGGAGTATTATTGTGTGATAAGAAATAACGAAAATGACAGATTCAGAGAAGCATGGGTAAACCATGAGAATCATTTATACAACTAGCACATAGTAAAGAAAAACAACCCTGCAAGACTTCAGAACTCTGACTGAAGCAAAGACCAGTGACGATTTCAGAAGACGAAGGATGAAGCCTGTTTGTTACCTGGCAGAGGTGGTGGACCACAGGTACTGAATAAAACACACCTTTTCCCAGACATGACAGATGGGTCGCTCTGTTCTGCTTGATATATGTATTCACTAAAAGAGAGCATTTATGGTGGGGGAGGGGAGTCATGAAGGAAGGGATGCCAAGACAAAAAGAGTGTCAAGGAAACCCTCAGAGACATACGCAAGAGAGCAAAAGCAAGCTCCGGAGGGTTAAAGTCACTTCTGCGCCCCCAGCTCACAGCCCTCTTTTCTAATCTTTTGTCTGCTGAGATGTTCAGGTCTGTTATACTCACAGTACAAAGCTTTGGAACCTAGCCTCCCCCTGCCCTCCCCCTGCACTGTCTCTTCTTGGCAGCCTCCTTGGGGGCTTCTGGTAAGCCCCCTGTGCCAAGGGCTCCAGAAGGAGAGGCTGGCAAGGCCTGCTTACGGGCTTCCTAACCATAGCCTTGCTGGTGTACCGTGGAGTGGGATCCCCTGTTCATGAGTGCTGCCTCTCATTCCAGGTGTGAAGGTCATTTTCTTTGGCAGGAAAAGACAAAAGTGAGAGAAAAAAGTAAGATGGATGCAGTGCTGTTCTCCCTGCTCCAGCATCAGATTCTGGGTGAGGCTTTGCCTCCAGAGTCACACCCCTTTCTATAGGCACTCTCAATTTCCTACTTTTGGCTCCCTGTCTCTATGCTTCTTTTTAAAATCTAAATTGGCACTGATGCATTGTTGGTGGAGTTGTGCACTGATCCAACCATTCTGGAGAGCAATTTGGAACTACGCCCAAAGGCCTATAAAACTGTGCATACCCTTTGATCCAGCAATACCACTGCCAAGTCTGTATCCCAAAGACAAATGAAAAAAAGGGTAAAAGGACCTATTTGTACAAAAATATTTTTTAGCAGCTCTTTCCGTGGGGGCAAAGACCTGGAAATTGAGGTGATTCCTATCAACTGTGGAATGGCTGAATAAGCTGTGGTATTATGAGTATGATGGAATATTATTATGCTATATGTAATGATAAGCAGGATGGTTTCAGAAAAACCTGGAAAGACTTCCATGAAGGTGAAGGAAGCAGAACCAGGACAGCAGATAGATTGTAGACAATAACAGCAACATTGTAACGACGATCAACTGGGAATGACTTAGCTCTTCTCAGCAACACACTGATACTGATGAGGACCCAGGGAGTTCTGTCAGGGCAGAAGGGATAATGAAACCTTCACAGAGGCCTTTAAACCTCACAGGAGGAGAAGCGAAAGCCTGGCCTGACAGGACAGCAGGGACTCCTCTCCCACACTTCCATACCGAGGCTGTCATGAAAAAATGACGTCCTTCCTTCTTCCCCACAGACAAAACCACATATCGGAATTAATTCCTCATCTTTCATGGTTAAGTGTTTAAATGGACCAGTGAGAAAAGGAAAGGCTGAGACAAATTCTAAATCACAGCACACACAAAAAGGAATCGACGAATTTCCTCCATACTGACCTTTAAAAATATGGTTCTCAGCTCGGATGGATCCGCCCTCTTAGTTAAAGTCACCTATAAACATAAAGATAGTCATAATGTTAAAATAAATCTAAAGAACCAGACAGGCAGACTGAGGGAACACAGGTTAGAAAGTAATGGCTCTCATGCTCATGGAGAATGAGCCAATCCCTTCACGTCCAGCAAATATTTCAGTGCTAAGAAGACAATGAATGAGGCTTCCGAACAGTCACAGTGTGTGAAAAGCAGAAAATGACTCTCTAACTTTCTGGTCTCAGGACTCCATCGTGGACTCTTAAAAATTTCTGAGGACTTCCAAGAGCTTTTGGTGGTACTGGTTAGGTCTACCCCATCTTCAAAATGAAAACATCCTGGGGCAGCTAGGTGACACAATGGATAGAGCACCGGCCCTGAAGTCAGGAGGACCTGAGTTCAAACCCGGCCTCAGACCAAACACTTGACACTTACTAGCTGTGTGACCCTGGGCAAGTCACTTAACCCCAACTGCCTTAAAAAAAGAAAATTAAAACATCTTAATAATATTATGGTGATTTCAGACCCAACGCAGTCTCCTGGAGCAGGCCAGGTGACTTGAGTTCCCAGCTTCATGCTGATGGGGGGGAGGGGTTCAAGCTACTCAGGGTATGCTGATGAGAAAACACTCCCCGCAGACAAGAACCGAAGTCCGTGAGAAGCGACGGCTGGCTGTCACTGGATCCGCACAAGAACCCAATGAGGTGAGCACACATACCCCATTATCCCCATCCATCAGGGGAGGAACCTCGAGGCTCTGAGGTGATGCCCCACGACAGACAGGCTCTACCACCCCCACGTCCTGAAAGGGCTGCCAGGGCTTGGTGCTCCTGGACGTTTCACTCAGACCTTTCAGCAGGAAACACCTATCCCAGGCACTGAGGGCAGGACACAGGGTCTCGCTGAGAAGACAGCTGAATCCAGAATCCCTCAGAAAGAGCGTCTGCTCTCCTCCCTCCCCTGGCACTCCCCAAGGACACAGATTCTAATGAGGAGACAAAAGGAAAGTGACCAGTTATGAGAGCAGGTGTCTGTGAAGCACCTATCCTGTCACATCAGCTCCTCACAACCTCTCTGGGAGGTGGGGGACAGCTCCATTTTACAGATGAGGAAACTGAGGCAGCAAGCCTCTCCTCCGATCTCCCTGAATCTCAGCGCAGCCCACTATCCACTAGGCCACCATCCAGATAGAGTCAAGGTGAAACAGGATAAAGTCATATATGACCCTAACACTTAGCTTCAAGCATCAGATATGACAGACCTGGGATGACAGTCAGATAAGCAGAGGGGGGGAGGTTTCTCCAGTGAGAAAATTGCTTCTCCTAAAAAAAAATCACCAGCTGCTCTGAAGCCTGGAGTCTTGGGAAGTTGGAGGAGCACCTGTGCAGCCACAGCCTGGACAGCCAGGGGCAGGGCTTGACCCAGGCCTTCCTAACTCTGAGGCGGGCTCGCTGAAGACTGCCCCACAGAGAGTTCAGAACAAGAGGCAGGAGTATCGAGGTCAGGCTGTATCTGGGGCATTTTCAATTCAATTCAGTACTTCTTTTCAAAGTGGCCTGGAAGGGGATAGGGGTAGGAAGGCCAAACCAAGCTAATCTCCAAAGAAACAGGTGAGCACCCCACCCCAACCCGCAAGGAGTTTGCACAAAGTCAACAAAAGCAAAACACATACACAGGGAATAAGAGAGGGCAGTAGAGAATCAGGAAAGGTGGACTTCAGCAACAAAATACTGGTTCACAGGCTATTTCCAAGATGGGCTCCAGGGTCTGTCTGGAGATACACTGCCAGCACCTCTTCCTGGAATTGCTACCCACCCAGCCTCCAGTGAGTGCTGACTAGGGTTCCACTTGGGCCACTGGCTTGTCTTTGGGCCTCTAACTTCTACCTTCTGCCAAGCTTTAGTGGCCATCTTTCTGATCTGGCTCTGGGTCCACCACCCCTCTACACACTTCTTTAATGAATCATTGGCTACCCAAATGCAATCATTCATACAAAGAACCACCCTAAGACACATTAGAAAAAGCAGGGGAGGTGGGAGAAGAAAACAGTGGATCCCTTCCCTCTGAAGCTCATATCAAGCCTTGGCTTCATACACAGGAAGCGCCCACAGCCCCCTGCAGCCTCTCCCTCTGGGAGGCCGGCTCTACCCAGAACCTCCATCCAAACCTTCCTTCCCAGGCTGTGGTCCTGACCCTGGGCTTTCTCTAGCATGCCCCAGCCCCAGGTCCCTTCACCTCTTCACCCTCTCCCCTGTCTGTCAGCTTCCTGTTAGAGGCCAAGGCTGTCACTCTACTTGTATCCCTAGGGCTCAGCACAGTGCTTGGCACACCGTAAGGGCCAAATACATGCTGGCCGACTTGACAAGAATCTCAGCAAGAGTGAACAAAGGATCAAGAAAGCCACAGAGGAAAGTCTGGCCCAGACAGTACACTCCAATCACCTCCAAGAATTCATAAAGCCCCTACTATGCGCCAAGCACTGTGCTGAGCACTAGGGACAAGGAAAGGCCAAAGCTCAGACCGGAAGGCGACTGACCACGAGGCCACACGTTCAAGGGCCACCTGGGCAGTCCCTAAAGTCCTCCAGAAAGCAAGACTTGGGGGAAACAGGGAAAAGACCCCAGAGGGCAGAGAAGAGGAGCAGACAGAGCCCTCTCAGTCCTTCCAGAGCTCCCCAGATCCCAGCTCTGACCCGAGGACCCAGCGAAGGAAGTAAGGCTGGAAAAACCCGCCAACAGGCACCCACCCACAGCAAGCCACAAGTCCAGGAGACCATGATGCCACGACGTCTACAAATCCTCTGAGGAAGACACAGCTTGGACAGAAGGAAGGTCTGCCGGGATTCTGGTGAGAAATGAAGAGGTCAAGGGGATCCTATGGATGAAACGAGCACTCTAAAGCAGAAACTGAAAAACTCCAGAGAAACACAGAAAAGCTAACACACTAAAATAACAAGATGGGATACATCATGACAAATTGTTTATTTTTCAATAGAAGAAACAAAGGCTCCCGCAGAGCCCTCATGTCTTCAAGAGGCCCCAGAGAACACGGTACTGGTTTTATCAGAGGACAGAGGAGAGGGAAGGTCTAATTGGGGAGAGACAGTTTAGATGAGATCTGTGCTAAAACAGCCCCTGCTCTCAAGGAACTGCCATTTTAACAGGCAGAGACAAAACTTACTGGGGCATCTGAAAGCTAGAGGCAGAAAGGAAGGCTGGAGAGACGGGAGAGGACAGTGCAGTCAGCACAGGGGTGATGGTCTGGGAAAGGACAGGAAAGGCAAAGGGAGGATGAAACACAGAGTGAGGGGTCATGAGGCAGAAAGACGTTAAGAAAACTTGTGACCCAAGGAGACGCACGACCGGTTCTCAGACGAAGCGGGACCACGTGAAAGAAAGCTCCAAATCCCTAACGAGAGAGAGGGAAATCAAAATGCACGTCGAGGCTTCACCTCACACCCAGAAAACTGGCAAAAACCACAGAAGTCGTGAGAAGAACACACTGGTGCGTTGTTACTGGAGCTGTCAATCAACACAACCATTCTGGAAAGCTAACACGTCCACCACCTTTGACCCAGAGATTCCATGGCTGGGCACCTACCCCAAGGAGCTCAATGACAGAGAGGCGGCTTTCTAGCCAGTAAGATACTGAGGGAAACCAAGAAGACGCCCAGCAACGGGGCAAGAATGTGGCACGACTGTACCGTGACCAGAGGATGCAGTGAAGTCAGCAGAGCCAGGATAACAGCGCACACACAAAGTACCCAAACAAGGGAAATGGCGGGAAGACACGGGCTACGAGGAAGGAGGCCAAGCTCGGCCCCTTGGCTTCACCTTCGGGTGGGGAACACTCTTTCTTTTTTTCCAATATGTTGATCTGAATTCTTTCTCTCCCCTCCCCTTTAAAGGATGCCTCTTTGGGACAGGAAGGGCCAGAGACAGGAGGAACGTAGGTGAAGCAAAAACAAAAGTCGTCATAAAAGCTATTGTTTACAAAGAAAAAAGACGGATCAGTTAAGGGATCAGGGTAGTACAGGAACGAAAATGCAAGTTCAGAAGGAAAGGAAGGCCCTCCCTTCCCAGGTGTCAGAGGAAGCAACAATCTGTACGTCTAAGCTTCCGACTTAGACGAGAGAGGGAAAGCCTGGGAGAAGAAAGGAGGACGGTGGGCAGAGCGCGCCACTCACCAGCCAGGACTGGGGGGCCACATTGGGGCAGCATGGCCTTAGGAGGTAGGGCTACTGAATGAGTCTGGACGTGGGTGGCGATGCACGAGAGTGAGGGACAGGAAGGATTTTTCTATCAGCTGCCGGGGACAGTCTAAAAGGAAGGGGGCATGGCACCCACGGGCGAGGGAGACCAGAAACTGTTTCAGGGGTTGGAGGGGGAGGGGGGTGATGGGACACATTCCAGGGGCAAAGACACCAGCACTAACTCGCCTGCTTTTGCTTCCGTTTGGTCAGACAGGGAGAAGGATCTTTGAAGTGGGAGACAATAAAATGTTTTGACGAAGGCAGCCGTGAGGGTCCCCCAAGAACCCCTGCCTCGGCTGCACAGAGCGCTCCCAAGTCTCCACCTCATTGGAATGCAACTCCCCTCCACCTTTGCTACCCAGCAGCCTGCTCGGCTAAGACATCAAGGCCAAACGTCCTTCATGATCCCAGCTCTGTCCCCTGGGGTCGAACAAGCCTAAAATCTCTTAGGGCAACAGGGAGGGAGGAAGGATCCTGCACTTATCAAGCACCCCTGTTGCGTAGCTGAGGCATTTTTCAGTCGCGTCTGACTCTCTGTGACCCCATTTGGGGTTTTCTTGGCAGAGATACTGGAGTGAGTTTGGCATTTCTTCTCTGGCCCATTTTACAGATGAGGAACTGGGGCAAACTGGGAAGTCACCTGCCCAGGGTCACACAGCTACAAAGTGTCCAAGGTAGGAATTCGAACTCAGGAGGAGGAGTCAGATCAGGGCCTCCGCTCTGTGCACTATAGCACCACCTAGCAGCTCTACGGCCTAGTAAGTACCTACTACGTGCTAAGCCATGAAGCAGCCAGGTCCTCAAGGAACTTCCATTTTACTGGGGGAGACGAGCAGGCACTGCCAGAGAGGCTCCTGCCCTCCTCTGGACACTCTCCTGTTCTTCAACGTCTTTGCCAAACGGTGGCACCCAGAGCTGGAACAAGGTTCCAGATGAGATCTGACCAGGACAGAAGGGGAGCGAGGGGAAAGGGGCAAGAAAATAGACATTTACACAGCACCTACTGTGCACCAAGCACTTCACAATTATGATCTCACGTGATCCTCACAAACCACCCTGGAAGGTAGGGGCTATTGGGATTCCCACTTTACAGATAAGGAAATGCAAGCAGACACAGGTGAAGTGACTTGCCCAGGGTCACATGGCTAGTCAGTGTTTCTGGACAGATCTGAACTTGGATCTTCCTGACTTCAGGCCCAGCGCTCTGGACCCCACAGCACCCCCTCGCTTGTCCTGGAAAGTGTGCTACTGCACATAAGAACGTTCTGGATGCTATGTGGCTCTGCTGCTGGATGGGGCAGAGCTGGGCGCGGCGGGGAGCACTCTAGGGCCGCTTCCTTCCCAGGCTGCTGCTCTGACTGGGGCATGGGAGAGGTTGTTAGCATTCATCCGAATGAGTCACCGCTCCAAACGGGCAACGCTGGCCAGGCCGCTCGCTCGGCCATTCCCTGCGGGTCAAGTGCGTCCTGAGCCCTGGGCTGGCGCACAGGAGGCCCTCTTGAAATCCTCACCGTTCAGAGCAGCCCAAGATCTAACCCCCCCCCCCTTCTAGCCACAAGCATCCCAACCTTGCATCTGCCTGATCACTGATCTCAAATCCATTTCACTTAATTCGATTCCACTCACTCTGACGCTGGTCATTCCAGGAGGCCCAGAGCTCGCAGAGCCCTTTCTGGCAGCAGGCCCCAAAACACCACCTGATGACTAATCCCACTCCCTGCCAACAGGTCTGAAGGTCACCAGCTCTAAAGATTCATCACCAGGGATCACAGAAAAGAGGGATGAAGAAAAAGTAACGTAACACAGGACAGGAGGCATCCACAGACTAGCCCAAAATGTCCAGTCCCTTCTTACCTCAAGCTAGAAACCTCCCAGGTTCCCATCTACCATTCCTCAGTTGGGTTCCAGCTGTCCCCTCAACTTGCCCTAACTGCAGACCAAATGCCTACCTGGGCCACCTCCCCTCTCTGACCCTGGTCATTTCTGCCCTGCTCCCAGACAACTGTGTGGATGGACAGTCCCTTCACTGCCTAGGGACTTCCGGGACAAGTCTACCTGCTGGTTTGTGCATTTTTAAATGAAGTTTCATAGTGTTTTTAAAATGTAAAAACATCTTAGCTCCCGGACAGTAGGAAAGCTGGCAGCTGGAGGTCAAAAGGCCCTTTCCTGGCCACTCCTGCATGGGTACTGTCCATCTCTCCTGGAACAGAAACTTCTGGATGGCAAGGACAGTCCCATTTGTATTTACACCCCAGCACTGAATTGCAAGTCAAATAATAAACATTTATTAAGCACCCACTGTGTGCTAAGTCCTGGGGATACAAAGAGGTAAAAGACAGTCTCTGCCCACAAGAAGCTTACAATCTAAGGGGGAGATAACAGGCAAACACATACACAAGGATAAATATTAAGTAATTAAGAGGAAAAAGGCTTCCTATGGGGACTCTGAAGAAGCAGGGAATTCCGGGGTCTGAGCAGAGGAGGGAGGGCTCCAGGCGCCACAGGGTCTGCAACGGAGGCAGTCTCTGGATCAAAGAGGAGAAGTCTGGAAATAAGTAGCCAAAGGACCGGAAGGCCCTGAGGGGTCTAGGATATAAAGGGCTTGGATCTAACAGGGAGCCTGGGGAGTTTAGGGGCTATTCCAACAGGCCAGGTATGAAGTGATGGAGCCCTGTACCAGGCTGGGTTCGGGCCCTGAGGATGCAGCACTCAGACCCCAAAGACCCACGGGATGGAGCCCCGGGAAGCAGAAGGTCCACACAGGAAGCCCTGGGCAGCAGTGCTGACCACCTCCCACCCAGCCAGAAGGCGCAGGGAGGGAAGGGGGAGGCCAGGTCCTAGCACAGGGCCACAGTTCAGCAACTAAAGCTGAGATGAGTCAAGTTTTTGAAAAAACACTCATCAGTGGGGGCAGCTGGGTGGCACCCTGGATAGAGCACCAGTCCTGGAATCGGGAGGACATGAGTTCAAATCCCATGTCAGACACTAACTAGCTGTGTGACCTGGGGCAAGTCACTTACTCCCAATTGCCTCCTTGTTTCCTCTCCCACCCTGAAACTGACTAGTACAAAAAATGATCACATATCTCCTTCTGCCCAAGCCCAAGAGGCTGACCCCTCCTCCACAGAGCAGTTACCTGAACCCTAAATCAGCATCCCTGGCTCCAGGCTGACCCAGCCACCCATCCCCACCCTGGCAGGATCTCTTCCCTTGAGGCGTCCCCTGAAAGGGCCACTTGGTGGGAGATGATCCCCCAATAGCTCTGCCCCAGCTTTTCTCTGTCCCTTTCTTCTAGGCCCCTCTTATAGAAGGTCTCCAGAGTCAGCTCTCTCTCTCCTCTCCGCCTGGCTCGCTTCCTAGCCCTCCTTCCTTATCTGGATCTTAGGGTGAAAGGGGAAAGGCACCCAAGAGGCCCGGGAGTTCAATGGTACCACCCACACGGCATCTATGTCCAGGTTGTGTCCACAGAACTCACCCAAAGGCCTCCCAACTCGCCTTTCCAGTGGCAGGAGGAATGTCTCCCTAAATAAATCCCGAGTGAGTCTGAACTCAGACTGAAAACTTCCACCGTTTGGGGGGAAAAAACTGGCTGATGAATGACAGCGTGACAGCTGGGGGCCTTAAACCGGGTGGACGTCCTCAATGTCCATGGAGCTAAGTGCAGCCGCCACAGCAGCGAGTGTAGAGACGCTGGCGGGGTGAGGGATCTCCTCCGCCCATCTGCCCAGTGCAAACGGACACCGGTGCGAGCCTCTCTGCCCCCAAGCTGGGCGTCCCGGCGGACTCCTCCCCTCCCCCCACGTCTATTTCACCTCCCTGCAGCTACACCTCTGAATGTAGCCCCCCCCCCACCCCACCCCCCGGGTCCTGGCGCTCATCTCATCACCTGCCACCCGGATACATGAAGGGCTGGGGCTGCGGCTGCCTGCCTCGCGTCCCCCCTCCCCCATCCAGCCCCCCCAGGGCCTCCCGGCTCGCCCCTCCCCCACCCCTCCTGTTAATTATTCCCTAATTAGCCGGTAATGACTGCGCGCCTTGCGCGTTCCTCCCCCCATCGGACCGTGAGCTCCCCGGAGGCTGGCACCGTCTTTTGCCTCCTCTTCTCTCCCGGCGCTTGGCCGCTGCCTGGCACACACACAGTAGGCGCCTAATCAATGCTGGCTGACCGACAGTCACGGCTGACACCAGCCGGCACCTGGCACGCAGCCCCCTCCCCTCCCCACTTCGGCAGCCCAAGGGCCCCGCCCACTCTGCCCCCCCCCCCCCCGGCCCCCGGGGGGGGGGGGACCTTCTTCTTTCCTCCCTCCTTGTGTCCGTCTCTCGTGGGGCAGCGGTGCCGGCCAGCAGCCCTAAGGAGAGGGGAGAATGGACCCTTCCTGCGCCTCCCACGTTCAACGCCCCCCGGGCGCCCCCACGCGGGCCCCCGGACCCCCACGCGGGCCCCCGGACCCCCAC